GGGGGGTTGGAGCTTCGTGATCCTTGAGCTCCCTTCCACCCAAACCACTCTATGGTCTGTGACTGAAGGACAAAACAATTACAACAACATACAGGCTTCCCAGCCAGCAGAGCGAAGATGCGCAGGCGATCCTCTGGGATGAAGCAGTCTGCCTGCAGCCTGTGCCAGTCCACCAGCTGCATGGTGAGCAGGTCCCGTGTGGGCTGGCTGCCCACCAGCTGGGAGAGGAGCAGGGCAAGCCGGTGGTTGCCTGGAAGAAGAGACAGCAGCACGTTAGGAAACACACTGACATCTGTTGCCTGCTTGTGAACCGCAAAACCTTTTTGCTCAGCTTACAGCTGTTCAACTATCTGGTTCCTTATGAACTACATATCAAATAAAATGGGACTGGTGGAATACAAAGGAATCAGAAGGACTGACCTCTCAAACAAGGTCAAATGAATGGAGAAGTTTGAAGACTTGAGGGGACATAAAGGGTCAGGATGAAAGTAGCCATTAAGGTCTGAAAATAAGCTTTTAAATCAAATGTAAGCAGCTTCAAAGAAGCTCAACTCTTGGAAAGGGGAGATAACAGCAGGATGAGGGGAAGTGGTTTGGAGTTGAGGGAGGGCAGCTGGAGGTTGGATGTCAGGGGGAAGTTGTTTAGAGAGAGAGTGGTGAGGTGCTGGAACAGCTGCCCAGAGAGGCTGTGATGCCCCGTCCATCCCTGCAGGTGTTGGAGGCCAGGTTGGATGGGGCCCTGGGCAGCCTGGGCTGCTGTGAGATGGGGAGGTTGGTGGCCCTGCATTGGTGGGGGGTTGGAGCTTCGTGATCCTTGAGCTCCCTTCAACCCAAACCGTTCTGTGATTCTAAGCTCAATTAAAAATACTGAAGAGGATACTATCCAGAGGACATCCTATGCAAAAAGAATGTTTCCAATGCAAAACAGCATCGCTTCCTACCTCTAGAAGAACTGACAGTAAAGCAGTGTAAATATGACTGCATTTGCTCTGTTGCTGGAGATGCTTGAGGCCGTGGATGGGACCCTGGGCAGATCTGGGGGGAACTTGCCCAGATTTGGGGCTTTGAGGGTCCTTCCAACCCAACCATGCTGTGGACTCTACGCTTGCACGAGCAGCAAGCAGGCAAGGCAGACTGTGCCTTAATCCATCTCCCACCTTCAGCACCAGAATGCCCCGTTACTCACCACGAGCTCTCAGTGCCAAAGTTCTCTTTACGTCTCTCCCCCCTGCCTCCTCCCTTTGAGAACAAGGAATGCAAGCATCTTACCTGCCTGCTGTGCCAGCCTGCAAGCCTCTCCAATCCTCCTCCCTGTGAGGCAGCTGAACACAGCCTCCACACGGTTGTGGTGCTGGGTCAAAGCAACCTCCTCATCAATCCGTGCCGCTGCGGTCTCTGACAGCCAGCGAGAGAAAGCCCTCCTGCGCTCCAGGGCCAGCACGTAATCGCTGGGCTCCTCCAGGCTGGCCTCCAGCTCCTTCAGGTTCCCCCAGATGGCTTCACACAAAGTCCACGTCAAGCACCAGTGCTTCACAACAGCTGCCAGTACAGAATTAAGCCAGTCAGGAGGGTAAAACCAAGAGAACGTTTAGAGAAGCCTCCTAAGGTTGTCAAAGCGTAATCTTACAGGATCACAGAATCACAGAATCACCCGGGTTGGAAGGGACCTCAAGGATCATGTAGTTCCAACCCCCCTGCCTAGCAGGGCCACCAAACACACACATTCAGATCAGGTTGCCCAGGACCCCGTCCAACCTGGCCTTAAACACATCCAAGGACGGGGCATCCACAACCTCCCTGGGCAGCCCGTTCCAGGGCCTAACCACTCTCCTTGTATAGAACTTCCCCCTAACATCCAACCTCAATCTTCCCTCCCTCAACTTGGATCCATTTCCCCTAGTCCTGCTGTTGTCAGCCCTTTGGAAGAGTTTACTCCCCTCCTGGGTGTAGGTTCCCTTCAGGTATTGATAGGCTGCAATGAGGTCACCCCGCAGCCTTCTCTTCTCCAGGCTGAACAAGCCCAACTCCCTCAGCCTGTCCTCATAGAGGAGCTGCTCCAGCCCCCTGCTCATCTCAGTCGCCCTCCTCTGCACCCTTTCCAAAATCTCAATGTCTTTCTTGTACTGAGGGCTCCACACCTGGACACAGGACTCCAGATGGGGCCTCACAAGAGCCGAGTA